ATCATGGCTAAGCAAACGTGATCATTTACGTCGTATAAATCTGGAGTAATTTCCATTCGAATTATAGCCTTCGTACTTGAGAGGGAGAGGGAAGGGAGAGGGAGGAGAGGGAGAGGAGAGGGAGAGGGAGAGGGGGAGGAGAGGGGAGAGGAGAGGGAGAGAGGAGAGGGGAGAGGGAAGGGAGAGGGAAGGAGAGGAGGAGAGGAGAGGGAGAGAGGGAGAGGGGGAGGGAGGGGAGAGGGAGAGGAGAGAGGAGAGGGAGGGAGAGGGGAGAGGGAGAGGGAGAGGGGAGGAGAGGGAGAAGAGGGAGAGGGAGAGAGAGGAGATGAGGAGAGAAGGGAGAGGGAGAGGGAGAGGGAGAGGAGAGGGAGAGAGGGAGAGGAGAGGGAGAGAGGGGAGGGAGAGGAGAGGGAGGGAGAGAGAGAGGAGGGAGAGAGGGGGGAGAGGGGGGGAAGGGGAGAGGAAAGGGAGAGGGAGAGGGAAGGGAGAGACGGAGAGAGAGAGAGAGAGAGAGAGAGAAGAGAGAGGGAGAGGGAGACCTCTTGTTGACGTTCAAAAAGAAAAAAAAATCATGTTGAACTTTCTGGTGACCTTTTTCCAGTCTGGAGAATCATCCACGAGGTTCCAACTTACTTCACGTCTCTGCTCTAAACATACTTATCACGTCAAGCCTTTATTTTACCAATCTTATATTCGTCATCTTTAAAAACTGAAGTGTCGGAGCGGATCAAAAATACCTATTGGATTTGATATTAACGTAGGGGAAGAAGTTATGGTGGAGAGGTTGTGGAAGAGTGGCTGATGGTTGGCGACTGGCACGGTGCAAAAACTAGCTTCTCAGTGCAGGTTGATGGGGAGGGAAATGGCTTCCTTAATCCCTATTGGCTCTTTGTCTTCAGCGCTCTGCCGGGGTTTCATCCGCGTGAGGGCTATGGCATTGCTGCAGGGCATTGCGGTTCTTTCTTGTACCTCTCTCTTGCGCTTTTCTTTCTTTTCTTCTGTCTGTCTGTCTGTCTCTCTCTCTCTCTCTTGTGTATCTATCTATTTACTAATCTCTATATATCTGTCTATCTCTATATATCTCTCTCTCTCTTCTCTCTCTCTCTCTCTCTCTCTCTCTCTCTCCTCTCTCTCTCTCTCTCTCTCTCTCTCTCTCTCTCTCTCTCTCTCTATATATATATATATATATATATATATATATATATATATATATATATATATATGCACACATGCCCCTCCCTCCTCTACTATCTCTCTCTCTCTCTCTCTTTCACTCTCTCTCTCTCTCTCTCTCTCTCTCTCTCTCTCTCTCCCTCCCCCCCCCCTCTCTCTCTCATTGTTTATGAGTTTTACAGGAACAAAACCACACACTCACGTATATTATCGCTCAACCACACGTCCCACTTTAAATTATCAGATAAGAGAACGTTAAGTAAATTGAGAAAATAAAAAAATAAAAAAAATCTTTGGCAGAAACGTTAATACATTGCCACAGTCCTTGAATCAGTTTGAAATACGTAGTGATAGAAATTTAGATCGAAATTACGACAGACATTAGGAAATATTCAAATAGAAATTCTGGTAGAAATAAACAAAAAAAAAGCAAATAGAAATTCAGAAAAATTGTCATAAAAAGATCAGACAGGAAAAATCTGGCAAAAAAAAAAAAAAAATAAGTTCGAGATTCGAGAGAAACAGGAATATTATACCGACGCCAAAATCACACGCACACAAACACAAACAAACACACCTATATGTATGTGTGTGTGAGTTATTGTCCATATATCTATGCGCGTGTGAACATCAGTTACATCCTATTGCTCCCACAGATCCCATAAACATAGAACACTGGATTTCGCTTGACCCTGATAAGCTTCAATTAACACCGGCATTATAAGAAGACCCAAGAATTAGCCGACATGCTCTCTCGCTTAAAGAAGGGGCCGCCGCGTCAAAGGTGTCCGAATGCTTGGTCTGATTGGCTTGGCTTCGGTTACAAAATGTACGATTGAATTTTTTTTCTTTTTTTTACCCTGGAATTTTGGGATGGAAATATGGTGTAGCCGAATATTGAAAGCATGTGTATATATATATGTATATATGTATATATATATACACACACACACACACACACACATATATATATATATATATATATATATATATATATATATATATATATATATATACTTAAACACACACACACATATATGTATATATATATGCATTGATACATACATATTTGTGTGTGGCACACACGCACGCAGGACATGTCATGTGTGCGTGTGTGTAAGAGTAGGCAAGAGAGAAGGACCGAAGGGGCGCGACGAAGGACCAAAGAGACCCGACGGCAGCTGATCGGTCTCCCCGCGTCTCCTCCGCCAAAGAGAAGCGCCGAAGGGAGTTGCTCCGCTCGGCCAGGCGGCGATCCAGCCCCGCGAAGTCGTGCGGAAAAATGTTCCCCCAAATTTATACGTCTGGCAAAGTGAGTTACTTCTCG